ATAAAAAATATCAATAACAATTCTACATACATTTAGAATAGAATTACACTTTTATTGTATTTTTATTAGAATTACACTTTAATATACATTTTCATATACTTATATATTAATTACTATACATATTATTCATGCAAAAAATGTTCTTGCCATAATATGTCAAATTTAATAACGTAATGTAATACATCACAGATATCTGTTTCGAGTGATTTTCAAAATTAACTGCTTATAATATTTTCGAGGTTAGTCGATACAAATAATTAAAAAATGTATGACATGCGAATTAAGAATCCAGAAATTCTCCTTCAAGTGATGTCAACGTATCTCTAAAGTGTGTGATTAAAATAAAAATTCTCTTACCTTCATTTTATTTGCCATACTGGAAGATATTCGATTTATTATCTTGAACTTGCAGTTACTTGAGTATAAAGAGAATAATGAATATGACCGCGTGACCGTTAAAGATAATTATCGTGACAATGTGATACTTATAACCTCTCTTTCCTGCAAAAATACACCGTTTGTATAGCCGCGACGATAAGTTATCCCTGATAAGAGTTATGTAATTATAGTATACACCATTTATACATATTAAATTATCTTTTTGAATATGTTTCTGATGGTTCATATTTCTCGATTATAAAGAACGGAAAAAAACTTGATCTACATGACATTAGAAAAAAATAGTTATATAAATGCTTATTTTTTAATTTTTTCACATTTTTATATATATATATATACATGGACAGATAAAAATTTATCTTACATAAATCAAATTTTTATCTCTTCGAATATATAATTTTTTCTACACATCTGCCTATATGTACAGCATATACCTATAACAGCATTTATTGTGTCGGCTAATCGGATATTTCGTCACCTTCTTTCTCGTATTTTCCTTTTGTTATTCTATTTCCGTTTCCCACCACGTTCCATATCATATTAATTTATGTTTAATAAATTTATAATATATATTGATATATATCTAAATTCTATCCCATACAATATGAAATATTTGAAAAATATTTCAAGAATATTTCATTGGAACATTTCTTCACGAAATATTTTTAAAATATAAATATTTCCAGGAAGTCAGAGTTTTTGAATACATTTTTTTTCTTACAATATTTATACAATATTTTAAAAATATTTTATTGAAATATTTCAACAAATGGTCATTCACATGAATATTTCATGTTATTTAGATTAGAATGAAATTCGGAATTTGCCAAATGAAAATCGACCGTTCTCACACGGATCCACGTGTTACTCCATGTGGCCGCTAAGCGCTCAAGTTCGCTTGTAAGTAGCGCCATCTGGTCGGCGTGAACTCACCTACGTGAACTACGTTTCGTTGATTGAACCCGTCAGTGAATCAGCTGATTGCCTTGCATTACGTGGAAGAGAATCAGCTGTGCGCGACATGGACGAGCTGGCGAACGAGGATCTCGAAATACCGCCCGCCAAATACGAGTGTGAGTATCAATCGCGGGTTTTTTCTTAACATTACCATTTCTTTTGCTCTTTTCTCGAAAATATTTCATCTATCGACATGTACTTTGGCGCGTCTTCGCGCGCGACGGATTCTAACCTCGTAATCGCGACTGACGCAAAGTTTCCGTAATATGACGCAAATCCCTCGCAGCCACAATTTTGAAAATAATCACGAAAAAGTCCATGTTTTCTGTTACAGATTTGGATCATACCGCGGACGTGCAGTAAGTATTGCATTCGGTTGACCGGTTAATCTTGAAGGTTACTTCGCCGGCTAACCTAAAAAAGCGCGCGCGCAATTATGCGGAAATTGATAGACGTTTAAAAGCTTACTTGCGACGGAGATTGATTCGGCAATGTGTAGATTACCGATTATATTTTCAGATTGCACGCATGGGGCGACACTATGGACGAGGCTTTCGAGCAATGCGCGATGGCTATGTTTGGCTACATGACGGACCTCGAGCGCGTGCAGGTCACACAGGTGCATCACATCGAGGCCGAAGGTGACGACATGGAGGGTCTACTCTTTCACTTTCTTGACGAGCTGCTCTTCATGTTTAGCGCCGAGCCGTATATAGTCGCCAAGGTATAATTTCTTTGTAATCAACATAGATACATGCTAATAATTTACCGTTACAGCAATAACGGTAATATCCAACTTTTGACAATACGTTATAGGGTTACATATAACGTTACAGAAATATAATTGTATGATTCATATATAAATTTTGTATTCTACATGAAATATTAAAGACTCTCTTTGTTACGTATTAAAAATAATTCCTTAATATTTCATTCTTTTGTTTGGATTTATAAGTAATATTACTATGTATTACTTCATGCAGTTATAACATGTTTTATTTGCACAAATTTGAAATTATTGTGAAATAGTCCTTTCGGTTGGACCGCGAAGATCACGAAACTTACCGCATCCGCATCCAAAACCAAAGGTGAAAATCTCTCCGCACGTCTGTCACCAGAAAGTCAAGATTACCGAATTCGACCGAGAAGGATTTAAAATCAAGGCAACCGCATATGGCGAGGAGTTCACAATTGGCAAGCACACGCAAGGCGCAGAGGTAAAGGCCATCACGTACTCGGCGATGCAGATCAACGATCGCCCGCGGGTGGAGCGGCCCGAAATCTTCGTAATCGTCGATATATGATATCACTCTTGCCCGTCAATCGCCCTGCACACGTACCTCAACCATATTTTGCTGCACAACTTTCTGGTAATGATCTGACAACAGCGAAAAAGTAGGGGGGAATTGGGGGGTTACTTAGCTTGAACGGGTGGTACATGGAAAAAGTAGGGGAAGGTAGCCGAAAGGCAAGAAGGGAAACCTTATACCTCCCCTACGGTCTACATAGGAGCGATCCTTTTGTACTTGCCCCGTAGGGTTCAAATAAATACGTTACGAAGAATGCACCGGGCCCCCCTTATTCTTGGCTCGACTTGACTCAGGCGTGTACTAAGATTACCCGAACTCCCGGCAAAGCGCAATAAAAAAAGCAAGGGATTAGCCATTTGTTACAAGAAATGCGTGCGAGTTTTTATCGTTATCGATGTTACATGTATTTTTTTTTTACTTATTTAACATTGTTATTTACAAAATGTAATCAATACGATAGAGTATCCCTCTACTCCAGTAGCTATTGCCTTGAAACTATGGTTCTCTTTTAGCTTTCTCACTACACATTTCTCTCGCAATGATCATGCGGGAAAGCGAGAAAAATGTACAAGATACCGTTGGTAAATTGATTACACGCACAATATATAATCTGCATGCGTCTTTAAAGAAAAACCCATTGTTGCCAATTTAAACTAACATTTTAACGCGATTTATTAATGTTTGTAACATATGTATTTGTTCGACTAATATTTATCGCACGTACATACACTGTATGTACAATTGTATGTTTCAGTTATCAGCAGTAAAATGAAAAAACTGATTAATTTTAAATGTAGGTCACAGCTTTCTGTTGATATTTATAGAAAGTATAGTATCGTGTTAACGCTATTCCTTTGATATTATACACGTTTCAAATTTATGTACAATCATCCAATAGAATTATATTCTATTGTATATGCAACATGAATGTATATTGTGACATAAACTAATTGAAAAAATTAAACCGAGCTATTCTCATCTTTTGAGAAAATGATGTCTAGAAAAATATAATAGCCATTATTTGTACGAAACTCCAGTTTTCCCATGAAACGCGTAGATTGTAGCATCTATTTGGTAATTTGCGATTGCATTGTATCCTTACGCGTTTGATACGAGACAGCGATCGAGTCTGAATTGTGATAAAGGGGATCGTCGATGATGAAATTGAAATAAAAAAAAAATGCGACTTTTTGCCGGTGATAATTTTGTCCCTGTCTCGTCCATCGATTTTCTCGTATAGAGTTTTCGACATTCTCGGTTCGGGAGGGGCCCTGCTCGCCTTCCGTCCCACTACATCCCTGCAGCTGAATGCCCCTCCATTCGCGAAGGAAGGGACGATCGTACGGCGGAGTTTCGGGCAAGACCAGGCAAGAAACGAGGGGCATCAGTTGTCCGGCAGGATCGTCGAGTCGAAGGCAGTCGAGGGCAGGCGCGTGTGCGTACGTAAGCGCTTGCACGATCGTTGTCAAATTAATACGTCACTAAATTGCATAATTCGCGAGTGCTGCCTGCGTAACGTCGTGTGTCGTGTCCGCGTTGCCCCTCCGTCCCCCCTGGATCCTCTGCCGTGAGGAGGCCCGGATTAAAGGGACCCGGTATCCGTCGGCGTTTAGAGAGAGAAAGGGACGGGAAAAAGGGAGGGAAGGGGGGGGGGGAAGGAGAAAAAGAAGGAAAACGAGAAGAGACTCACTTTGTTCTGTTCTGTTCTGTTCGCGTTCGCCAACACCCCCGAGCATGGCGGACCGGTATGGTAATAGTGCGCTCCGGAAACGCGGGAATGCTTGCGAGAGTGCTGAAAGTGGATAACCGGTGCCGTGACGTCGTCGAGGACGAGGAGACGAGCGGTTGCGAGGATATTTCGCGGTAAATAGCCGTTCTCGTAACTCGGCTCAGGCGGTCCCTCGACCGTGGTGAAGCAGCCGGTGGAGTAAAAGTTTTGGCGGGTAAACCAGGTGGAGGCGCGCAACGATCGCCGACGCTCACCGAGGCGGGTTTTCCTGGCTGACGATCTCGACGAGCATTCTCGAGAATCTCGAGGAAACGCGATGATGCGATGACGCGCGTGAAACGGCACGGGACGCGTTCGTAATCGCGATAATAGCCAGTCGACATTATCGAGTGGTTATCGCGCGCGTCGCATTCGTTAGGGGGTATTTTATTAGTAGGTTCGAGGAGATCGGGGATCCGCGCGTGGTGCAAATGTCGTGATATCGTCTGGAAAAGGCTCGGTCATATCGGGTGAACGCGATTGACACGAAGCCGCACGAAGCTGGTGGCGGCGGTGCGGTGCGTTGCGGTGCGGTGCGGTGTGGCGCGGCGCTGCGCGGCGACCAGCGACGACGGTTTTGGCGCGCGTATTTCAGCATTTCAGCTGTCGCGCGCGACCGGCAGATGGCCGGTACGCCGGCTCACGGACGACACGGACACGTCGACACGCCGGCGTGCGACACGCACACGGAGAGATCAACCATTGCCGTTACCGCTACGGCGAGGGTGCCGCCGTGCCGCCGTTCCGCCGCGCCGTCCGCTCGGAAGCGCGCGCACTTATGAAAGGCGGCGAGGAACGACGCGTTGTCATCGCGTGAAACGCGAACGATCAGCGAACGCATCCCGAACCTCCTCGCTCCGCAAAAGTGCCTTCCGCCCGTCCGAGCCTGCCCGATTTCAATCGTCAAATCGTCAAATCGCCATTCGTCACGAGTCACGAGTGCCGTGCTGCTGAGAGGAGACAACTTTGAGAGAGCTAGCTGCCCTAATTTCGGTAAGTACTACGCCTCGCGTCAGGTCGCTTTAAAGTGTCACCTGTCGAACGCCGAGTGAGACAGCGAGCGAGCGAGCGAGCGAGAGAGGGAGGGAGAAAGATTTCCATTGGTTATGAAACTCGTCGTATTTTCCGACGTAATCTTCCGTGAAGGCTTCACGCGCGAGAGATGCAGCGAGAGTGCACCAACATCACGATATTATCCGCCACCAACGTAGCGCGACTCGTCGACGCATACATTCGGAAGCGTCATCCTCTTCCCTTTCTCTCCGTCTCTCTCGCGCTCGTTGACTCGTACGCATGTTTAACGGCTTGCGACGCATGCGTGCCGCGCTTTTCCGCGGTCGGGTCGCATCGCATCGCATCGCACACACATCGCATACACGCGCCGGCGGCGGTGGCGGGGGCGGCGGCGCCGCGCGACAGCCGACACGAGGCGACGCGACGCGACGCGACGCGACGGTGCCGACGTGTGGTCTCGCATATACCAGCATATACACCGACACCGACACACAGCTGTGAGGGTACGGCCGGTACACCACCTCGCGATTCGCGAGGCGAGAGAGAGACTCCCTCTCCCTCCCGTAGACATTCGCGAATACGCACGGACACGCGGCTGGTTCTCTCTTTCTCTCTCGTTCCCTCTCTTGGCATCTCGCGAGCACCGGCGCACGCGGCACACTCTGTCCGCTTCTCGTTACCCGAATCGGCCAGTCGTGCCAGCGCGCCACGGTGCCTGCAGCCCGGGGTCCCCGTCCCCGTCCATAGCCATACATTCAGTCGAAGCAGTCGAAGGAAGGAGCGAGGTAGCGAACCGACCGATCGTCGTCCGAATCTTGTCTTGGCTCTTGGCGTACCGGCCTCGTACGTACATACGTAGTACGTACACGCGCGCGACGCAACGAGGCAGGGAGGGAGAGAGAGAGAGAGAGAGAGAAAAGGTTCGTTTCTCCTTGCTCGCCTCGCCGGCCTCCTGGTCGGCCTGAGTCGAGTCGAGCCGAGCCGAGCATGCCGAGGCGGGGCTCGCTCTAAGGTTCGAGCCACGCTGTATTCCAGACAGTGAAAAACACCCGTAACGTTCTCGATCCAGCGTATTGTTCTGGAACGACGAGCGCCCCTTCCGTCGCGTCGTGCGAGGAATCGCTTGGCTTGTCTTTGCCTGGCTACCTGCTGCCTACTTGGACCCGCCTGTGCGTAGCGTAACCGTGGCGGTGCGGTGGTGGCGGCAGATCGAATCGCGCAGAAAATGGACACCATACTCTAGCACCAGCAGCACCACCAGCAGCAGCAGCAACACGAACACGCTCGTAGAAACGAGCGACCTCGAAAGAAAAAGAGCGACGTATGTCAGGGAGAGTAAGAGGGAGAAGTCGCGCAAAGTACGGCGAGAGTATGTAAAGCCGCAACGATTACAGCCACGTCGAGGGAACGGAGGGAAAGGGTGAGCGGGCGATAATCCGAGATATATACATCTCGAGGCGATACAAGCCGACGAGGAAGGGCTCGCTCCGTCTCCGTCGTCGTTCTCCTCCTCGAGGAGGCCCCGCACGTTTGTTCCGTCCGGCGCACGATTTTGCCGTTAGCCGCGGTGTTTCTCTGTGCCATATCCCTCTCGAGACTCGAGTGCCGGGATCGCCGGGATCGAGAGAGAGAGAGAGAAAGAAAGAGAGACCACCCGGACTGGGGGATGCCCGGCTCCAACCGTCCTGCGACGGCTGCGACACGCGCCGCGTGCCGTGTGCTGGCCTGCTGCTGAATCTTCTCCCGGAAGAGAGCGCGGGTCTCCGTCTCAAAATACTGTGCGGCGCGACGCAGCGCAGCGCACACATTCGCGAGCAGCCAAGTAAGTAGCAAAAAACCGGGAGCGAGCCGTGAGAGGAGGAGGGACGGAAACGCTGCGCTGGCGAGAGCCGAGAGAGAAAGAGAGAGAGAGAGAGGGGGGGAGAGAGAGCGGACGGACGCATTACCTCTTCGCGCCGACCGTCGCCGACTTTTGCTACTTCCGTCTCTCTTTCTCACCCGAGATCGCGACGCGTGTCGTCATCAGCGGCGGTGGCTGTTGACGACGACTTCCTAGCGAGAAACGCAGTTTTACGCGCCAACAGGTCAGCACTCGGGGTCGATTATACGTTTGCCCTTCCTCGACTCGCCGCCGCCGGTAGAATGCCGCGAGTTTCCCGCTTCGGCCAGGATGCGTCGAGGGAGCATCTTCGGGGAAACGTCTCCGAAGCAGCGGCCGATCGCGCCGCTCCTTTACATGACGTGCCGGTAACGCACCTTACTAGGGACACACCGGCGGTGTCGTCTCGGCTCTTTAAACGAGTTCGCCGCGACGCGACGATCTCACGCATACGCGAGTATGTGTATGTGGCTCGTGTCCGCGTGTGCGTCGTGCGAGCACGCGTATCTCTCACCAGTGACGCGTCGAACCGGCATGTATGTGCGTGCATGCGTGCGTGCGTATCGTGCGTACGTAAAGGAGTGGGCGAGCGCGTCGATGTGCACGAGGCCGTGACTTCGATTCTCCTTATTTACCAGCGATACGACACGAGATCGAGTTCCTCGAGATTCCGCGAACGCAATTCTCGATTGACGTAAGGGTTGCGCGAAGAGGGAAACGAGCGATCGGACGAGGGGGAGCGATGTATCGTCGCGTGAATGAAGGCAGCTCGGAAGCTCCTAACATTTGCTTGCACTCTGCACTCGGGTTTTCCTTTCTCGTTTTTTTTCTTCTCGACGCCTAAATATGTTTCTCGGACGACGAAAACGGACGAAACGGACAGACCTCGATTCTCGAAAACGTGCAACGAAAATGATCGAGGCGCGCGATATTTGACAATTCCACCAATAGAAAGGCATCGCTTCCCTCCGCTCGCGCGCTATTGGTCGTTATCGCACGATAGCACTTTTCCTGGGGTCTCGCTCTTTCGAGAAGGAATCGAGAATTCTCTGACAATCGACGACGCGAGAACGCCGGCGGCAACGTGTGGCCTTCGATCGATGTTAACAGCTGATTGCGCGCTATGTCGGGCTAGAACTGTGGCACCACACTCGCCAGGTTTTGATAAGAGAAGCCAGAGACTCGAAATAAAAAGAACGTATCTGGAGTGCTATCGCTCTATTTCAACATTCAGAAGCTTACTGCTGTACTGTTTACTTAATTGGTCAGTTAATTCTAAGACTGCATACATTTTTGTAAACGTGGACTACTCCGTGCGTATTTTTCAGACTCTCTCTCTCTCTCTCTCTCTCTCTCTCTCTCTCTCTCTCTCTCCCCAGATATCTAACACATAATGTAATAAAAAAATAACGTATCTATGTTTTTCAACGCTTATTTTTTCAAAATCAAATAATTGCAAATAATTATAAAATCAAAATTTATGCTTGTCAACCATAAAATTAAAGTCGCTAAATCGTCAAGTACAAACATTCAAACAAAAAATTCCCAAGAAACTGGCAGCTGGAAATTTTCATTGGATATCACGGATCCCCGTGTGTGTAGCCCTAGGATTAAAGAAAAAGGAGATTAAGGACAACTTTAGTTGATTAGAAAGAATTTGTTGTTAACATGTAGAACAAGATTAGATCAGGAGCAGCGGAATATATAGTTGAAAATGTTGCTTTGTAAGCAATTCTGCCGGTTGAATCAATCACTGATTAAATTAATTGAGATTTGGTCGAAGTCACCCTAAAGGGAGATGGCTAGGCTGGTGTCGTAGAGCTCGCGACCTAAGACCTTTACGAGCGGAAGAACGAAATAAAGGGGCAGGGAAACGGAGAGAGAGAGAGAGAGAGAGAGAGAGAGAGAGAGAGAGAGAGAGATAAAGTTAAAGATATAGATATAGATAGAGAGGGCCGGCCTCGTCACATCTGGCCGCCTGAAGCCTCGTGCACACGAGACACATTGCGCATTCGTTTGC